AGAAATGCATGGCTGAAATAGTTTCAGGTTTCAAACACAATTGTTGATCGACAATTTGTCAGCTAGGATTAGTACAGATGCCCACAATTTCGCTTGAATGTATTAGTCATTATTACAGAACTTTAATGTCAATCAAAGGGTCTGATATTGGACGGTTCAAATAAACCGCAACAATGAGTTACTTTTGAATATTTTCTTTAAGACATAACATTTCAAAAATGAAGTGCACATCGCAACATTACCTTCCCTTACCACATTCAAAATGTTGTACAGGCACAGTGTCCAACACTGTAGAGAGGGAGAGAGGGTGAAAACAAGGGCATTAACGACAAGTTGAAATACTCTTCCAGTACATTGCAATCTCAGTCATAATGAGTCACCACTTTTGTCGCTTATTGTATTTTCCACCAGGTTTCACTACAACTAGGTGGGTTCAAACCTTGAGAATTACGACAACTCTCGACGCTGGATCCCCTTAGGCATTTTTAGTTGCAAAGAAAATTCTGCATTCTGCTCATATTTCAGGAAAATTCTAACATTTTCTCAGAGCAAGCAGTAATATTACTAAGGGCTTCTAGAATCGGGGTTACCTCCAATGTAAACGAATCATATTCCCTCTTTGGCACACTTGGCCGTTTCGTATCGACCCATCGAACACCACATCTCACTGGTGTCTGCCAAAACAAATTTTTCTGAGTCTAGCGTGATACATTTGAATTTTTAACACTGACATAGAGATAGGAGATCTTAGAATGCGAGCGAGCTCCCGCTCTAGCCATCTTCCATCAGGTAAAAACTACAATGCTATCGATATCTCCTACTATAAGGTATGGTTTACACGGATGGTGACACAGTTTCTGTTCCTTTAATATCACGAACATAACTGAATAACTTATTGCCGCTACTTCGATCAAAATCATTGATTGGGACGAGTCATAAAAACGTCATTAGGGAAGTAAGATAAGAGCTGGCAACTAACGTTGTCTCATAAAGAGGCAGAAAGGATTATTTGAGTTGTACGTGTTAGGCGTGGACTTTAGCGGGCTCGATTATGTGATTTTAATCAGTTAACAACGGTTCACTGGCCGCCTGAGTCGCCAGCTCTGAAGATATTTCAGTCATCAGAAACTGAAAACACATTTACGCAAGACAATTCTTCCTTAAATCATCTCTGAATCGTCCACCGAATATCTTCAGAAAAAAAAACAAATCCTTAAGATACCAAGGTAACGTTCAGAAAGCCTGGTTAAAATTCGTTCAGGAAAGTACCTTTGAAGCTGTTCCTGGAAAGAAAACTTACACGGTCTTACTGCTTGTTCATAACGGAGGGTGTATTCGCTTTCTTAAACTTTCGCTTTTTTTTGTTAAATGTTTGTTCTAACAGAGAAGCCTTCGAAAGTGCATGTATATGATCGAGCCAAATAATTTCTACATATTTCCACAAGACCTTTAAGAACCTTTAATCGATCGACATCAGAACAAATCAAGAGCAGCGTAGACCATTCCACAAAAGAAATATTTTCAACGTCAGCTAAGGTATTCGTTTTAATCGTTTGTTTATTTCTCACCCACGACGAAAAAAATTGAGTTGAGCTGTAAATGAATGTCTTGTAGTTTACCACAAACTACTCTCACACAAAGATAACATAACAGCAATTTGTTATGTACGCTGAAGATTTTATTTTCATGAGTTAGAATTATCTCCATTCAAACTAACAACATTATCCTCAAAATTGAAACAGAACTCACATTATCCAGGATGGCGGTTGTTTGTCGTCTACTGTACTTTTCTTGGATCCATGTCAATCGCCAGCGCATCCTTTACATTGTTAAGTATCTATTTATGCTTCTTATCCCATGGTTTGTCGGCTCCTTTTCCAGTGTTTGTTCCATCTCTGTCAGTTGCCATTTCTTCTGGTCATTCTTGGAGGGTTCAAGTCTTTTCGAAAGAAATTCGTTTCGTAAAGTTGGACACCATGGCTAAGAGCTGTATAGCGACTGCTTATTCCAAAATCTGTTGTGATCTTTTTGTAATCGAGTCTCCCTATATTTCTTTGACCGGGAAGTCGTAATTTTTACTGAACATCTTTTCGTGCTATATAGATATCTATCTTTGTGA